ATTGAAAAAAAAATTCTGCCTCCTCCCAGCCTCCCATTTCTCTCCCCCTCCCCCACTCCTCTCCCCCTCCCTCTCCAGTCCAAAGAGCTGTCAGGGTTCCCTGCCCTGTGGGAAGTCTAAGGTTCTCCCCCATCCATCCAGGTCTAGGAAGGTGAGCATTCAGACTGGTTAGCTAAATAAGAAGGTAAACCCAAAGAAAAACATATAGTTATCCTCCTGGATTTTGGAAGTAGACAAGATTGCTGGGCAAAAATTGAAATCTTGGGGGTGGGGTGGAATGGGGGTTAGGGGAGATGGGGAAGGAAAAGTGAGAAGGGGAGGATGGGGGGAACTTGGGGGAATGGGATGGTTGGTATAAAGAAAGGGTGGATATGGGAGCAGGGAAGTATATATGTTAATTAAGGGAGCCATCTTATGGTTGGCAAAAGGCTTGACCCTAGAGGAGCTCCCAGGTGTCTCGGGAGAAGCCCCCAGTTAGTTCCTTGGGCAGCTGAGAACAAATACATTTCTAAACAGAGATTTGAGGTTTAGTTCCCAGACTGTTCCTCCCTGTTGCCAGAGAGCCTAAAATTAAATTCTGGAGTTTCTTTCCTTTGAACATCCCACACAACAGGGAGAACCAGGCATTTGGTGCCCAATGTCACGGGTTCAGAGGTGATAGAGGTCCTCACACTCCAGGACTGGTGGTAGAGTATGCTCAGAGCAGGCATTTTTTCAGGATAGGATCAGGACTTGGGGATTTTACCATCTCTGGTGGTCACTTAGTGTTTGTTAAAAGGAAATGGAGTGAATGTGAGAGAAAAACAGCTTACAGAACTTTTGGTAATAATTAACACACATTGCTATTGGTCTCATGCGATTCTCAATGTTCAGTGAAAACAGAGGACATGGAACCTTATGCGCTCATATAAGGGAGGAGCCTATACATCCCAAAGAGGAGTCAAGATTTGCTCTTTACGTAATTTGATCTCAAATGCTCTGCATCCACTGCAGAGTGAGGAATCACAGAAAGGTCCATCTGAATTTGAACAGGGAAGTAAAAAGGAAAGCATCCAGGCTCACAATTGTCAGTCAGCTGAGGAGAATGTTTCCTCACAGGAAGACAGGAATGTTGTTTCAGAGAAAGAAGAAAGTGAGGAGGGTCAAGGTAATGGAGATGAGACAATGAGAGTAACAATTAATAAATGGGACCTTTTGAAACTGAGAAGCTTCTGTCAGGCAAAGGATGTGTCCAAAAAGACAAAATAATGGCAGCCTATAAAATGGGAACAGATCTTCACCAACCCCACAATCGACAGAGGACTGATCACCAAAATACATAAAGAACTCAAGAAATTAGAAATCAAGGTTCTAAATAATCCAATTAAAAACTGATGTATAGATCTAAAGACAGTATTCTCAACAGAAGAATCTAAAATGACTGAAAGACACTTAAGGAATTTTTCAACATCCATAGTCATCACAGAAATGCAAATCAAAAGAATTCTGAGATACCATCTTACATCTGTCAGAATAGCTAAGATTAAAAATACTGTTGACAGCTTATACTGGGGAGGATGTAAGTGGAAACTCCTCCATTGCTGGTGGGAATGCAAACTCATGCAGCCACTTTTGAAATTAGTATGGTAGTATGGTAGTTTCTCAGAAAATTGGGAATCAACCTACTTCAAGACCTAACCATACCACTCCTGGTCATATATCCAAAGGATACACAATCATACCACAAGGGCATTTGCTCCACTATGTTCACAACAGCATTATTTATAATAGCCAGAACCTGGAAACACCCTAGAGGCCCCTCAACTGAAGAGTGGATAAAGAAAATGTGGTAATTTACACAATGAACTACTCAGCAGTAAAAAACAATGACATTTGAATTTGCAGACATACCGATAAACTAGAAAAAAAATGCTGAGTTAGTTAACCCAGACTCAGAAAGAGAAACATGATATGTAGTCATTTATAAGTAGATATTAGACATAAAGCAAAGGATAAATAAGTTACATTCCTCAGCCCAGAGAAGCTAGGTGAAAAGGAGGACTCTAAGAGAGACACATAGTGAGTGCACCAGGAAGGAAAAATAGTGAAGATCTAATGGGTGAACTGAGAGGGGATATAAGGGAGGGATGGAGGATGGGAACATGAGTGATCTAGATGACCAAGTTGGGGGAGGGATAGAGAGGGAGAGTAATGAAAGAGTATTGTTATAAACGAAGTCAATATGGATTTAGGGAAAAGCCTGTCACTAGGGAAACTCCTAGGAATACACAAGAATGACCCCCAGCTAAAGGATGAAGTGGATGCCTGAACTGGCCTTGCCCTTTAAGCAGATTAGTGATCTCCCTAAGACCCATCATAGAAACTACATCCAGTAACTGATGGAAGGAGATGCAGTGATACACAGCCAAGCACTAGGCTGAGTTCCTGGAGTTCAGCTGAAAGAGGGAGGAGAGATCATATGAGCAAGGATGGTCAAGATCATGATGGGGAAAACCACGGAGACAGTCAACTTGTGCTAGCAGTAGTTCACTGACTCTGGGTTGACATCTGGGGATGTCAACTTGGCCATCTGAATGTGGGTGACAGTTATGTGACTTGATCTGTTAGGGGGTCCCATAGCAGTGGGACCAGGACTTACCCTGGGTGAATGAACCGGGTTTTTTGGAGCCCATTACCAATGGTGGAATATCTTTCCCAGGAAGACTCAGGGGGAGGGACTTGGTCCTGTCTCAACTTGGTATACCAGACTTTGTTTGTCATGGACTGTCCCTCTGGGAGATTGTTATCCATGGGAGAACAGGGATGAAGGCTATAGGAGAGTCAGGATACGACGCAAGGGAAAGACAGACAGACATATTGTGTAGTGAGAATTTGTTGTAATTTTATTTTTGTAAAGCTCCAGTTTATGTACAAAACAGATCAAAGAACTTGGCAGGCTCATTATATTACCCCATTTAAGGTTTTAGACATAAATCAAGGCTAAGTATAATCAAAAATAGAACTCCCTTTACGTGTTTAAGATGTTGGCAAGGACTTTTAGTTTTGTTTTTTAGGATTTTGTCTCATATCATTAACTATATTTTATCGTGGGGGACTAGTTTTTAGGGTCCTGGGTTTAGTTTTTTATTTATATAGTCTTTTATTTTTTGTTTTATATCCCCTAATAGTTTTTTTGTTTTTTTATGATAGTTTTTATATCAATACATTAAAGTTGGTTTTATGTTTTTAATAATATTTTTTTTATAATAAAGACATCAGGGCTTTTGGGATCTAGTTAATCTTTTTATAAAGGGGATTTTTTTTAATTCTCCTTTTTTTAAATTTGATTTACTATGATGATTTTTTTGTAACATTTTAATTTTAACCGTTTTTGTTTTATTATTAATAAAGTTTTTCAGGCTTATGTTGTGTGGGGCATATTTTATTTCCTTAAGGACTGTTTTAATGAACGGTGGAGCCGAGTCAAGGACGTATTTTGATTTCTTGGTAAGCGGTCAGCTGTAAACAGGAAAGATAAGAAATATAGAGAAAGATCATGCAGGGTGCCAGGAGGGCTCGCTCTCAAGGCCATCTCCAGATACGAGATTTGTCTATGGCATTAGGTCCTATCTCGACCACTGATTGTCAGGGGACCATCTGGGGCTTTGCTCCAGGAAGCTCTAACCCCAATCTTTTAGTAGGCAAAAGCCAGCGTAGAGGCATTTTGTCATTACATGGCAGTCATTGTTGTGGACGTGGCAGGTCTTCCTTTTTTATTTTTAAAATGAAGTTTAAACATCTCCTGTTTTATTGTCTGTAATGAAGAAAATAAGCATTTTAAGAGACAGGGGAACAAAAAGATGATCAATATTATTAAGAGTATAATTACTCCAATGAATACAAAGTATTGTATCCAATCTAAGGGATTAAGGCTCTTAAGTCCATGTTTTAACTGCGAAGCCAAATCTTGTAGTTCCTCTAATTGTAAATGAGATTGACTCATAGTAGAAATATCTTTTTGTAATGTGGCTAAATCATGAGTAATATCGTTATTTTGTCATAATCCCTGTAGGTGAGTCTTAACTTTATCCCATGGCTGTGAAGTATTATAAGGTAATGGTGTGACATAGATTGATTTAAAATTATCATGACAATGTGTTGATAGAGTTGTTTTTAAATTAGTAATGTCCTGACCAAGAGTGAGCATTATTTTTCCAGTATATTTATTTTTGTTTTTAGTTTTTTATCTATAGTTTTTTGTTTTAATAATGTTGAAGTAATATTTTTATTTAAAGCATTTATATAATGGGCAGTATGAATTTCCTGTATTAGGGTTGTAGTAGCCATAGCAAAGGTGGTTAATATAGAAACTAATGTTGTAATTTCCAAAATTAATGTTGTTATAAATCGCTTTGGCCTAATTAATTTATTTAGAGTATCTAAAACCTGTATAGTAGAATTATCATACCAGGGATCATTTTCCAAATCTATAGGCAACATCATAAAAGGAGGGCGTCTAACAATGATCATAGTACCTAATTCTTTTTGTTTTGTCGATGTTATATAATTGGTCAATTTACAAGAATGACAAACTATTTTATATGACTTTTCTTCTTGAGAAATATTTATAAAAGTTGTCTGAGCTAACAGTAATGTATTAGGATATGTTATATAGGCTTTTAGTCCGACAGGTTTAGATTTTGTATGATTGGGCTTTTTTTTTAGAAACATATTGGCTGTAGCAACCAGTCTAAAAAGATCAGTATGTTTTCTTGTTTTATTTTCATGTTTTGCAAACCAGTAGGGTTCAACAAATCCCGGAGAAAACCATCGCCTAAGTGGCTCTCCTAATCCAGTCCATGTATAATTGTGGAATTTGTCTTTATGGGTATCAATGTAATCTTTATAAGGTCCTTTGTCATTTTTTTAACCCCTGAATTAGAATTTGAATAGTTCCATATCTCATAATCATAATCAACAGGCCTAACCCACATTGCAGAATCTGGAAATCCACAGGCTAGCCATGCAGGGAACTCAGACAAAGAAGAGTCCCAAAATTGATTCTTGTCTCTATATTTTCCTATACAGGGATCTATAGGTAGATCATGAACTTTTGTAAAGTTGTTATGATAATTAGGATTTTTCAAGGTCTGTATTTGAATCTCCCATATCCATCTTTTATCTGTATTCTCTTTGTCTGGCCCGTCAGTGAGAAAAGTACTGTAGCGTGTACTTAGGCAATCCGAAGGCATTCTCCCTTGAAGCAAAATGCAGATCGGAAGCGAGTCTGCCCTTCCCTCAAAGGTAATAAGAGAGGACGAACCAGTTTGTGCGTCAGTGTCCTGAGCATCATCCATTCTCATTGAATCATTGGTTAACATTTTTAAAGGCTCAGGATCTAACCATCCCATGGGTTGTAAAATAGGGGGATTTGGGACATACGCCCAGTAGGAAACTCCTTCCATCCTTTGGGGAGCAGAGATAATGGCCAAAAAGGCGAGGAAATACATAGACGCTGTCAGGGATTTTCCCTGTTCAGTGAGCAGCCGTTTTGCCTTTTGTGTCAGATGACGAATCTTTGTCCATGTTATTTTTGTCGTGGGCCGGCTTAGTTTTATCTTTTTTATTTGTTGTTGGAGCTGTTTTTTTTTTTGTTTGTTTTTGTCATCTTTTTTTTTTCTTTTGTTTTGTAACAGCAGGTCGGATGAGGCGATCTGGGATCCAGATGGGAGAATCGGCATTTTGTGGAAACACACAAGCATACCCTCGTCCCGAGGTGATTAGAACATCCCTGTTTTAGTTTTTTGGCTCTTTAGGTTTTTTTTTTTCTTTTTTTTTCTGTTTTGTAACAGCAGGTCGGATGAGGCGATCTGGGATCCAGATGGGGGAGTCGGCATTTTGTGGAAACACACAAGCATACCCTCGTCCCGAGGTGATTAGAACATCCCTGTTTTAGTTTTTTGGCTCTTTAGGTTTTTTTTTTTCCTTTTTTAGTGAGAGGAGAGCCATTTTTATAATATTTTGATTTACACTCACTACTCCAATGTTTTCCCCTTTTGCACCGAGAACATATGCCCGGTAAACATTTTTGTCCTGAGCTTTTGGATTTTTTGTAATCCCTCTGAATGTGCCCAGGTTTTTCACAATTATAACAAGTAGGAGCGGTGATGTCTTCTGCACCCCCTCCATATTAAATTCTATACTATAGAAGTAGTAAATAACAGATATCTATACAACAGTAAAAATAGACTCATATCTTTGAGCCCCAGCAAAAACACAGAAAGTCCTGAGCTTGTAACCCAAACAGCATGTAGTCATAGTTTTNGTTGGAGCTGTTTTTTTTTTTTGTTTGTTTGTTTTTGTCATCTTTTTTTTTTTTCTTTTGTTTTGTAACAGCAGGTCGGATGAGGCGATCTGGGATCCAGATGGGAGAATCGGCATCCTGTGGAAATACATAAGCATATCCTCGTCCCGAGGTGATTAGAACATCCGGCCCCTTCCAGAGGCCGGAAAGGAGATCTTTTTACATTATTAGTGGCAATGGAGATTGTCTTTTATCTTTATTTTAGTGCCTTATTGTAGCATTGCTTTGTTGATCATCTACATTTAAGTGATTCAAGGTGAACAGGCTATGTGACAGCAAATGGTGAGGAGTATAATATTTATTAGCCTGTTGTAATCTCTGTATCTGTAATTTTAAGGTTTGATGGGCCCTTTTAATAATCCCTTGTCCTTGTGGATTGTAAGGGATTTCTGTGACATGTTGAATATGTCATTGTATACAAAACTGTTTAAATGCTTTGGCAGTATATGTTGGCCCATTATCTGTCTTGATCTGTGAAGGAATATCCATTATTTGAAAACTCTGAATAAGATGTTGAATCATATCTTTTACAGTTTTTTCTGTATGGGCTGAAGCATGTATGAAATGAGAATAAGTGTTTATGACCATATGGACATAACACAATTTTCCAAAGGATGGAACATGAGTCATATCCATTTGCCAAATAACATTAGCCTTTAAACCTCTAGGGTTTATTCCCATTTTTAAGGGATGGTAGGCAACTGGGCAATGCTGGCATTGCTTTATTATTTGTCTAGCTTGTTTTTTGGTAATATGATATATTTGTTTTAAGGCCTTTGCATTCTGATGATGTAAGGCATGATTCTCTTGTGCTTTTTGTATTGAAAAGGCACCTTGAGACTGAGTTAATAAATCAGCCATAGCATTTTTCTGTGTTAGAGGGCCTGGAAGACCTGAATGTCTTTGTATGTGACCTATAAAGAATTTTTTTTGATGGACTAATTTTTGTAATTTTTGTAATAAAGGTAATATGGGTGATTTCCCTGACAAAAGGGCAGTTTCCAATGCTGGAAACAAATTAACTACATATTTTGAATCTGTGTATAAATTAAAAGGTTGTTGAAATGTCATAAAGGCTAAGATTACTGTTCTTATTTTAGTTTGTTGGGCAGAAGTCTGCTCTCCTTTTTTTCAGTATGAGCCATGATGATATGTATAAATTGTAGCCCTTCCGGTGGAAGAACCATCTGTGAAGATTAATATCGCCTGCTCTAGGGGTTCTGATGAAAACCAGATAGGAAACATAATTTTTATGGTCTTAGCAAATTCTATGAGAGGATGTTTGGGGTAGTGATATTCTATTTGACCTGTATAATTTTGTAAAGCCAAAATCCAATCTTTATTATTTTGTAATAATAAGTCTATTTGAGCCTTTTTTATAGGGAGTTATTATAAAATGTGGCTCTCGTTTAAATAGTTCTCTAGATCTAATTTTACCTTTTATAATTAAAAGGGAGCATAAATAAGGAAAATCAGCCAACATTTTTGCCTGAGTATGTGGTAAATGTAACCATTTTAACATTCCGTGCTGCCATAAACAGGCAGTGGGAGTATAAGCGGTTGGAAACATCAGTAGGCCCCATTTATTTTGATAATTTATTTGGTGAACCCGGGCATAGGTAATGGCTTTTTCAACAATATGTAATGCTTTTAACGTTTTTTGGGTTAATTGCCTAGGCGACTTAGGATTTGCGTCCCCATGAAGTATAGAATAAAGAGGGCTTAAAGTTTTAGTGGTAATTTTTAAATAAGGTCTTAGCCAATTGATATCTCCTAATAGCCTTTGAAAATTATTTAATGTTTTTAATTTATCTCTTTGAATTGACAATTTTTGTGAACTAATATAATTAGTGTCTATAGTTTGTCCTAAGTAGCTCAATAGTCTGTCATGCTGAATTTTATCAGGGGCAATAACAAGTCCATATTGGGTTAATTTATAAATGGCTTGTGTTAAAATCTTTTTAACTGTCCTTTGTTTTGGATGAGCCAGAAGGATATCATCCATGTAATGTATTATATAGGCTTTCTTAAATTTCTGTCTGACTTCCTGTAGGGCCTGAGCTACGAATTTCTGACATAATGTTGGAGAATTTTTTATCCCTTGAGGCAAGGTGACCCATTGATATCTTTTAAAAGGCTGCCTAAAATTCATTGAAGGTACATTAAAGGCAAAACGTTTATTATCTTCAGGATGCAAGGAAATGGTAAAAAAGCAATCCTGCAAATCTATAATAATAATCTTCCATTCTTGAGGTATGGCTATTGGTGATGGAAACCCAGGTTGTAAGGGCCCCATATCCTTTATGACTGCATTTATGGCTCGGAGATCCTGTAATAATCTCCATTTTTTTCGACTTTTTTTTTTTTATAACAAATCAGGAGTATTTTAGGGACTGTTGGATTCTATTATATGACCCTTGTCTAGTTGTTCTTGCATCAGCTGTTCAAGAGCCTGTATTTTTTTTTTGTTAGGGGCCATTGACTCATCCAAATTGGCTTTTGAGTCAGCCATTTTATTTTATTTGTATATAATTTTTTTGTAGTGGCCCCTATGTAAAATATTGTTCATTAAGGTTATCTGAAGTAACCAATTTAACATTCATGGAATCCAGCAAATCTCTCCCCCAGAGTGTGAATGGTAAGGAGGGTAAAACATATGGTTGGATATGTCCTGTTTTTTTTTTTTTCATCTTTCCATTTAAGAGTCATGGAACTTTGCATAATTTCTGAGGCTGATCCCAATCCAAGCAAAGATGATCTCGTCTTATGTATCGGCCAAGAGTTTGGCCAGTCCCTGTTAGAAATGTATGTCCTGTCAGCCCCAGTATCCATGAGACCCCTTATCTTTTTACCATTTATTTTAATAGTTTTAAATGGTCTCTCATTGAGTTCCTTAACCTAGAAGATCCCTTTAGTAGATCCAAACTGTCCTTTACCTCTTTTTTTTTTTTTTTAATATTTTATTGGGTAAATTAATGTATGGTAATAGTAATAACTGTGTTATACGTTGTCCTTTATGTATTTGTATAGTTTCTGTTAAGGGCTGAAGCATCATTTTAATGTCATTTTGGGTATCTGTATTAATTATTTCTGGAAGAACCTCAAAGTTCTTCTGGTAATTAGAGCTTTGCCCTATGATTAGTCCCACTGTCTGAGGGAGGAGTGT